AATCTTGCTCTTGCTCAGACCGCTCTGGAACTCTTGGCTTCAAACAATCATCCTGCCTCAGCTCTAAGTACTTTCATTTTTACACTTGAGTTCTTCCTGAATTAATTCATTTATCTCCCTGTCATTGGACCTGATTTTGTCCAGGGCCCATCTATTCCCCCATCAATTATAGCAGCTGTCCCATTCTCTATCAAATTCAACCCATCAGAACTATAAGGTGAGTACTATGTGCTAGATAATATTTTCTTATTCTCCTAAAATAGTATTTTCATGACTCTTCATTGTCTAAAGACTAAAATTGCAGACAGGCCATCAGCAGGCTGCTCCCTCCCATTCCAACCTTATTTCTACCATGGTGGACTTTAGCCCCATTGCTTGAGTGGTTTTTTCCCAGACTCATCTGCTTTCTCTTACTTTTTCTAGCCTGCCTTGGAAATTCTGCCAGGAATACCTCTCCCAACTTGGGGAGAGGGACCCACAAGTGGTTTCCTGGTATGTGAGATTCTGTTTCCATGGCTTCGAGTCCAGGTTGGGCACTGTCCCCACAGGCTGTAGGCCTTTGTATCTGAGAGCACCTATCCCAGCAGATTAGTCTGCTAATTCGGTCATGTCCTTGTCTGTCTTCCTCGCAGACTCCTCCTTTAGGAATGGAACCCGAGCATTATTCTGTGTTATATCGGGAGCACATATTAAAAGGCTGGTCTGACTCCTAGTCATGCATGCTGAATGACACATGAGTAATCTGAATGGACTCATTTGTGGAAAAGAATATTTCATGTGATTTTTTGTCATTTTACTTTGCACACAGGAGTATCTCCCCTGGACTCCTGTTTTTTCCATTGCCCAAGATACATTTTTAAGACTTTTTTTCCTGAGTTTCAGCCTACCTCTTTAACTTCTCCTGGAACAATCTGAGAGCTCAAGAAAAAAATTACGATAAATTACTAGAGTGGACAGAGAAAATATTAATAGCAGAGATGTCAAGGATACTTTGTTGTAAGTTTAAAATTCTCTATAAAAGTTTTCATTGGTGTCTAATTTATCACAATCATTCACTTAGATTATATCAATTACAAATCTCTATCCTTTGTAAAAATGGGTAGCAGAGCAGGTGCATGAGAGCAAGTTACAATTCCGACTTTTTGTTACTGGGCATCGGTGTGTCTCTCTGACACCACAGATACACACAAAACGACAAGCCGATATGAACTCACCCTTCAGATCTTTGCTTGGATGTCACTTTGGTAACAATTTTTTATTCTGGACCAGGCTGTGCTGGTCCTTCTGTATTTTTTCCTATCATTTTGCTTTTTGAAACATAAATTATTTTACCTCTTTGCTTGAACCATTTCAGCAGCATCAAATGTACTTACATAAAATCCAGATGTGTCTGGCAGTCCACAAAGCAAAGCGTGCTCTGCCCCCTGCCCGCCTCTCTAAGGCATCAGGCTGTCTGATCCTTCACCCACCCAGCAGGAAGAGCCACAGACCCTTTATTCCCATTATTTTCAAACATGCCACCCTTTTCCTAAAACATGCTCCCTTTAGACTCTTGCCAGTCAGGCTAGGACTATCTTTTCGGTCCCAGGTCCAGTGTCACCTCCTCGGGAGGACATCCTCACCACGATGATTAAGCCAGATCCCTTTAAATCCATTATTTTACACCACAATGTGTCTTTGTTTTGTAGGATAGAGCACAATTTGTAAATATACATAGCATGATTTGCTTTGTTAAGTATAAAAGCACCTTGAGAGTAGTGATCATTACTGCTCTCTTTCTCTCTCTCCTTCTCTTTTAAACTTGTGTACTCTGACACAAGTTTAAAAGCTGAGCATAGGGCACATACAGACAAGTATTATAGATAGATTGATTGATTGATTTTTGCAGGTTTATTTTTTTGGCCGGGGCCAGGTTTAAACCTGCCACCTCTGGTATATGGGGCCAGCACCATACTCCTTGAGCCACAGGCGCCGTGCAGATATAATATTTTTTAATTAATTAGCGAATATTATTTATCACAATCTACTATAAAATTTTCCACCTTTCCCACATATTTTAATCACCTCAAGAATAGGTGCAATATCTCTAGCATTCATTCTTCCATCCAATAGACAGAATAGAATAGATATCAAATAAATTAATCAAATGAATATGGGGTCATCATAATCACAAGTGAGGGCATGGCAAAGATCACATTTATTTGTGTAAACCAGCTCCATAACTCAACTTTTAGCAAGACCCAAAGGAATGGGACCTGAATTGTATAAGAAATTTTTGTAAAACTTTACAATATATGACTTAAACACAGAGAAAATTCGGACTCTGTGTAGCAGTATTTAAGCCTCTTATAAATTTAAGTGCATTTAATAGTCATAAAGTTATTATAAGGCCATTCCTAAGGGGTAAAAAACTATTATTACCTTCATTTTGGAGAATGGAAAACTGAGGCGAGGGGAGGTAGAAAATCTCATCTGTGTCCTCGTGTCCAGTTAATACCATAACAGGGCTTCAAAGCAAATGGGGGCCTTAAATAGGCAGGGGCAGTGGGCTTAAGGAGGGCAGTTGGGGCAATTTCTGTGCATCACAATACATAACGACTGGTTAACTGGGATGTGGGATGAGCAGACGTTGAAGACAAAGACGAGGGGAGAATTTGGACTCTTGTTCGGCCCAGCTCAGTGTACAGACCTGCGTTTCTCACCGCACACCTTTCCTGACTCCTGTCTCATCCTTAGTTCACACGCACAGCCACATGTTCGGTACGCACTCTACGTTGCTTGTTAGCTAGTAGTGGTCTTTGTTTTTCTTTCTTTAAAGGAAAACACAATATGTTCATGCATTACGTTTGTGGAACTTTGAATTAATGTTATTGGTAGCCCAGAAAATAATAAAACCTGCTCCATTGCACACCTGCAAGTGCCTGAAATTCAGCTAATTCAACTTAATTATTCCCCAAACTCCTTATGTCTTTAGTGCACCCTGTAAAAACTGAAGTTGCTAAATATTATCATATATAGGTAGGCTGAGTTAGCTACCTAACTAAGGCTTGTTAGTGGCTTGTCCCACGATCATACAGCTATCATGTGGAAAGGTTCAATGAGGCTTTCTTGACACCAAAGCTGAAGTTCTTTCTGTCACAGAATTCTGGAATATACCTTGAAATCATGTGGCTTTGGAGTGTCTAATTCTCAGTAGACAAGAAAGGATAAGCCACTTAATGGGAAAAGATAGTATTAGACTACTTATGGGAAAAGAATAATAATTAAGTAGCAAGTTTTGAATTATGTATCTGTGGTTTTGGTAAATCTGGTTGAAAGAATCCAAATTCCGTAAATAGGAGCAAGAGAGAATAGGTATATACGCCAAGTCAATATGGGAAGGTGGCCATAAAACTCAGAAATGTATCTCCATTTCTAAAGGGTAGGCCATCTACAAAGAAGAAAGCATATGAGATGAGCAATAGGCCAAGGTCAAAGCAGAATAGACAGGAAGGTGCCACAGAAGCAATTGTTTTTACAATATTTCCAATGATTTCCAGTCCAGTGGTTTTCATCCCTCACATTCCTTTTCCTGATGGTAAAGCAGATGGTAGACAAGTACTTCAGACAGCATATACTGTCTCATTAAAGATTAATTCATCTTATTCTTTTTCTTTAAGAAGTACTTTTTGTTTTTTGAAAGTAAACAGAGGTGGAGAATGGAGTAGGCCTCACCCCTTCTTTGTTATGCTATTTATTATACGGACATCCATTGTATCTTTCTTGTTATTTTTATTTTGATATGTACTTTTAATGCCAAAGACTTTACAAGACGCTTTACATTTTAACTCCCCTTTTAAAATTGTGACAATAATGCACCCCCAAACAATAATCCACATCATGTATATTTAGGGCTGTGTAGAGCCCCCAAACCTTAATGCAATAAAATTGTTAAATGGTATTTTATTTATAGACAAATAATGATAATTCATTATTTATATGTTTTTAAATGCTGAAATTTGGGGACTTTTAAAAAAATCTCTTTAAACATAATTGAAGGGGCCATAAAATGTAATGTAATGTGTTCTATATTCAGGGAGCATTCAGTAACTTGGATGCCAGAGCAGTTTCTCTACCAGCATATGTGTAGGAAAAATGCACAGGACATATTGTTTGTTATAACCCAAAGAATAAGTGTAATTGGTCTCCTTTGCCTTCCCACAGACCCACATGCTTTACGTTTTAATTATCAGTTTCAATAGAACAAGAAAAATTCCTGACATTACAGGTTTATTTCTTAAATCTATCTTTGGAAAAACAAGAAAACAAGAAAAATTCTATCATTCTTATTCTACATTACAGGATTATTTCTTAAATCTATCTTTGGCTGATGCTGAAATCTCACAATCTGTGTTCAGTCTCCAGGTGTTTAATAGATGAAGACCAAGATCAGTATTTTATACATGAAAGCGGGATTCCATTTGTTATAGAGAAGCTTTTAATCTTTGTAAATGGCCTGACATGCTGGATTTTATTTAACAGTCGAGTTTCACAGACAAGGAGGAGAAATTTCTTTAGAGGGCCAGACAAAATGCCCTAATCCATTTCGTTCTGAAATTGAGATTGTTAAATTAGACACAAACATTTATGAATGTCACCCGGTCTTTCCAGCAATTAGGGTGTTCAAAAAAATCCGTTCGTGTTCCATGACTTTGAAATTATGATATTTATTCTGAACTGGGCCTCAATTTGTTCCATCAAACGCTTTAGAGGTCGCGTTAAGCAGGAGCACATCCATTCTGAACGAGCGTGGAAAAGGGTTTCTTGATGTATAAAAGTGTTCTATTTTAAAGCCATCTTAGCAATTTTAGCACATCTACGGCGAATGCCCAGGTAAGCAGGAGGTCAATTCATTTCTCTTTAAAGGGAAGAAAATCTCTACATCCCAGGGCTAATCTCGCCCAGATGCTGCGCGTTGGTGAGTTCACTGAGTCTCTCCCTTTGCTGTCTCCTTCCTGCAGTGCTGATCCTCCTCATCGTCACCATGCGAAGGCGGAAAAAAGAGCCCCTCATTTTCGACGAAGAGCGAGATATCCGAGAAAACATCGTCCGGTACGACGACGAGGGCGGCGGCGAGGAGGACACGGAGGCCTTCGACATGGCCGCGCTCAGGAACCTGAACGTGATCCGCGACAGCAAGACCCGCAGGGACGTGACCCCCGAGATCCAGTTCCTCGGCCGGCCGACCTTTAAGAGCATCCCCGACAACGTCATTTTTAGGGAGTTTATTTGGGAACGACTGAAGGAGGCGGACGTGGACCCCGGCGCCCCCCCCTACGACTCCCTGCAGACCTACGCCTTCGAGGGCAACGGCTCGGTGGCCGAGTCGCTCAGCTCCTTGGATTCCATCAGCTCCAACTCGGATCAGAACTACGACTACCTGAGCGACTGGGGACCTCGCTTTAAACGCCTGGCAGACATGTACGGGACCGGCCAGGAGAGTTTGTACTCATAGCCTAGAAACCTTACTAGGAAAGGTACTGCAGGAAAGAGTAACCGCAAAAACAAACAAAAGAAAAGGAAAGAACGAAAACCCCCACGTCTATACAGAAAGCAAGAACTCCACTTGCTGGAGAAAATGGTTGTAAATATTTCTCCATTTTTACCTGTGTGGGTTTCTGCCTTGGTGAAGCGAATCTTCATTAGACTTACCCCAGGGACTTGGCGACCCCAGACTCTGAGCATTCGAAGGTTTTTTTTTTAATAAAAAGAAATGCTTGGTGGTTTGTGAATAGATAGCAACTCTCCTATACCTGCAAAGACCCCACCTCTTGAGTCAGTCGTCCCCTGTATTGTCCGTGAGTGGAGGATGCCCGGCGCAAGCCGCCGCCGTGGGGCTGTCAGAAAGGGGAATAACGCGGTGAGCTATTGCCAAATCCTACAACGTGGAGCTTAGAACATCTTAGGACCAACTGAATTTACAGCAATGCTTTTTGAGCTTGCTATATTATAGAATCCGGCAGAATTTCATTGCTGTTGGTTAGCAAAAATATTTTATTGAGCAATATACAAATTCTAGGAAATTTCACCCTAAGTGAAAGCCCCTCAATAAAAACCTGTAAAATTTGGCTTGCGTAAAATTTATTTACGTAATAAATCATCGCTTATCCAATAAATGATTAAAAGGTAAATTATTTTTAAAGTTTGCAATCGTTTTGAGATACTCATGTAGGTATGACTAAGAAAAAAAGTTGCTGTCTATTCGTTGATCTCTATTATCTCTTCTGATTTGTACAGGAGAATATCTTTTTTTTCCTTTTTAATTTGACACATGGTGTTGTATTTATTTTGGAGCTCCAATCTCCACTAAATTCAGGTCCATCTTCCTGCCTCGTAGTACTAAACGCATAGGAACATGCTGATTTTTCTTCTGGCCTGAGCTACATGGTGCAAATGAAGCGTGGAAATGGAGAAATGATAGCAAAGCAATTGAGCCCTGTCGCAGTTCACATCTAGAGAGGAGCACAGCTACAAGGACACAAAAATTGTTCTTCTGAGCCAAACATAGGAATAAAATATTTGTATTTTAGAAAAGACTTCAGAAAGAATTGAGATTTTCTTTGATGCAAGATTTATTTTTCAAGGTCATGAATTCTACATGCTCCAAAGACTTTCAAGAATCTGTTCCTCGGCCTTTTCTTTTTCTGTAAACATATTGACTAAAAGATTTAAATTTTTTGTACCTTAAACTGGATGATGTAATAAAGTTCAAAACCCCTCTTTAAACTCTGATGCAGACATGTTCCTTGAGAATTAGCAATCAATGTATAATTTCTGTGTGGTTTGGATGCGCCAGGGAGGGCAATTACAAGTAATCACGTGTTTAAGATTGAGATGAGCTTCTTAAGAGAAAGACGTTCATGACCAAAATAATATTTCTACCTAATAATTTTTCCTAGACAAATAATCGTTTAATGTGCATATATTCAAGTAAGAATGGATTTATACTTTCCATCCTTTCTCCTTTTCAAAATGATTCATTGTTGGGTTCCTAATAAACTTACAGACAGTGAACACAGTGTAGAAATTTGTGTTCTGAAAGTACTTCTTTCTGAAAGGCAGATGCTGGAATCGTAATATGTTGATTATACAATAAGAAATAATGTAGGAGTCTGTCAACTTGCAGCCCAACTTTAGAGATGAAGTATATAAAAGTGGCCTTCAGCTTCATAAAAATAAATAATTCAATAAATTTGATTATCTACAAACAGGTCTTTAATTTGAATAAAGTTTTCAAGACATTGTCTTGTGACTAAGTACATGTGCTTCCTGCTGTATTAATATGGAGACATAAAAACCCAATTTTATAACAGAGTAAAAGATACTGTTCGTGACTTTTAGTCACACATATAAGGTTTTCTAATAAAAGAAAAAATAGTACACTTACCCAATTCAATAAAACCAGAGTGCGGTGCAGGAATTTTATAGATGTTAAATCAGCAAGGTGCTGAGAAAACAGTTTGTAATAATCCCTCGTTGTCTGCAAGAAGATAAAATAGTTTAGTGCATTTGGATTATGTTGTCAAAACTGCTGATTATTGCACATATCACCAGAAGAAGGCTTGGATGTATTTTTTAAAAAGAGATATTGCATAATTCACCTTGTTTTTTTTTCCTTTTAAAATGTATATACTTTCTCTTTTATTTTTTTCCCCATATTTCCCATTAATACGTTAGGAAATAAAAGGTTCAGATTTAAATAATGATTTAAAATACTTGCATAAACCCAATGCTTTCTGAGTGGAAGATTATATCAATGTACTATTAAGCTGGATTTAGTGGTATTTTAAAAAATCTTTTAAGATGATCAGAGATCGTAGACGAGTGTTCTTAATATAGATAGAATTTATACGGAGCACACTTCAGCTTAATTGTAACGATGGTGAATTTGTTGTCGTTTGTTTTAGATTTCTTTTCTTTCCCCTAAAATCTCATGTTATGTGTGAGTATCTGAGAAAATAGAGTGAAACTTTGTTTTAGAAACAGAAACTGAAATGGTTGCTGGATAAAATCAGTCTTAACGCTAGTTAAGAGGTTTTCTAAAAGCCATTGAAATAAATATTTATCACCTTTTTGGTTAAAGTCATTGTGCTGGGACCAGCTGGGATCAGCTGGAACCAGTTCCAGGTCCCCAGATCCAGCGGTGCACATCCCTTCCCGACTTCACAGACAGTGACATCGTTCTGGTAGGTTGTAGTCAGCCATCTGTGAATATGCAGACCTCCATATTAAGTGAGCAGCAAATACTACCCTTTTTTTTCTGGAGAGAAAGTAATTAAATGGTTACTAGCACCCTGTTGCTTAAATTACCTGGCAAAGAAAAAACTCGTGATTGTAAATACAGTACGAATGAATAGAATATCAAATAATCATATGAAAGGAATTTATGCTATGTTCTACTATTTAATAGTTAACACTTACATTGAAATAGTCTACTATTAATAGTAGAATATAGCATGTAGTAGATGCACATGGTAGTGATTTCTGGATATCAAATGCTTGCAACTCCATGTATAAAGAGAAAGGATGCATTTCATTATGGAAAGAAATGTGAACACAATTTCAAGTACAGATAATAAAAATTCAGGAAGTTAATGTGTCCATGCAGGGGCACTGATAGAAACTCAGGATATACAAAATAATGCCCACTTAATTTAGTATCTTGAAAAATTAGCTACATTTCACTTGTTACTATCTTTGCCTAAGAAATTCAACCGAACCCCCATTCTGAATTGTGACCAAGCATTATTTTAAATCAGCATAAAATTTTTGAGAACAAAATCTTATCAAGAAAGTAGATTTTGGCCAGCTACTTGGGAGGCTGAGTTAGGAGAATCACTTGAACCCTGGAGTTCAAGGCTATAGGGAGCTATGATCACAGCCCTATGTGACAGAGCAAGACCTGAATCTAATTATCCGTCTCTATTTAGAGATTAGCGTCTCTTTTAAAGCAGTATCCTAAGATAAGCTACTGATCAATATTGGAAAGGACATATAAATGAAAATTGGTCATAATTTGAGGGCTACAAATATTTCTTTCTACAAGCAATCACCAAATGGATGGGGTAATCTTTTCCTTTGCTGTGAAACTCCACGGAGACTGACTACAGTTAAGGTCAAATGAGCGCAAGGTACTTGCAGGGAGTGATGTTTGGGTGAGAATAGCTGCCTTGTCACTCTGCCCTCTGAGAATGTTTTAAATTATTTTACCTTTATGCACAATTACATTTATTCGGTTATTAGCAGACATGGACAAATATTTTCACATAAACAGTATAGCTGTACAAGGTATGAGTGACATTTATGATATGACCCACATATCCACAGAAATCCAAAGAGAATCAGTGTTAACACTTATATTGACATATAAAGTCTAAAGGAGCTTAAGATAAATTAAACATATCACAAGAGACAGAACAATTTAATTGAAATATCTTAAAGTTTACCGAGGGTGACATGGTGAGACTCTGTCTCAAAAAATAAACAAATAAATAAATACCCTAAACTTTGCACCGGCTGTAAATCTTAATCTTTAGATTTCAATGTAGCATCTTTTGACTTGCAAACTGTTTTAATAATAATGTCAATTATCTTAAGTCAGCATTTAAAATATAGTTGATTTAGTTAAATTAAGGTTGATGAAAGCTTCCACTTACTCTTTTACCTCTTTCTTGTCAGGGATGGCTGGAGGCAGGTGGAATGTATATGGTAATTAATGTGCAAATTTATTTTGTATGTGTCTTTGGTCTTAAATATGAAATCAGTTATTTATTCATTACTGATAATGCACATTGTATGTGTATATGATGGTGTATGAAAGTTTGGCAGTAAAAACTAATACAGTCATGTTAGCTGACCAGATATATTAAAGACAAAGAAAGAAGTAGACCCTCTAGACAAAGGAGAGATGTTTAAAGTTGTGATTTTGCAGTCATTGTAAGATATAATTCTAGGGGTATTTTATTTTTTAATTTTGGGTTTTTATGAGAGTGTATGTGATTAAATTACCTTATTGTGTTTGTCATGTAAAGTCCAAAGTGGAGAGTTGTAATCATGTCCTTCATCTTGGGAGTATGCCATCTACACCTACATTGCACCCTTAGTGTACAGGCTCAGACTTTAACTGAAAAGGCCCACGCGTGTGCCAGTGTGCACAGGCATACATGGAGACGTTCAGAACCACATCTGAAGCGACCTTCAAAAAAAGAGTCTAATATCACCTAGTTAATGCTGCTATATTATTGGTATTTTCATTTTCCAAATAACTATTAGGCAACAAGTCCAGAAAATATGGTACTGACCACAAGGAGTAATATTTTATTTGCTGTTACAATCTAATTTCAGTTACGTTAGGAGAAGGATTTTGGTGGCTAGGGGAACAACATTTAGCTGAATCACCTGTATAAGTGCCTCGTTTCATTTTGGGGTATATGCAATTTCATTGCAAAAATAGAATATAGAGTGTGAATTGCTTAATGTGGGACGTCACTGGGCTTTGGCCTCCTGAGTTTCGGGGCAGAGGCAAGAGGAATTACCCGATCCGGCTGTAGTATCTAGGCCAGATGCCCAGTTCTAGTGTAGTTTTATTGTGCCTTGAAGGCCATTCTAATTCTCTAAACTTTTATATCTTCGTAATTAAAACTGAGTTAATGACTATCCTGTCTGATTCAGAGGCTTGTGAGATGATTAAGGGAAAGTTATTTTGTAAACTGTAAAAAAAAACCATAAAAAATGTAAGGCTTTATTATGGAAAATTATGGAAATTATGTAAAAAAGTTGGTTTTATTTATTGTTATATGGTGAACACAGATAATTTCTGTTTTGAGTAAAATGCATTAAGAAAAAAATATATGCAATTAGTATCCTAAATTGGAAAAGAATATTCAAAGAGACAATTGGCATAATTAATTAAAACCACTCAGAAACAATCATAAGGTCTATAAAAACTAGAGTCTAACTCAACTGAATTTGATCATTCCTGAGAATTAAGGAATCATCATCGGTGTGAGATTATAAATAGAAAACAAGTCTTTCCTGTTCGTGGTGATGCCTGCACGGTAAGGGCCTTTAGATGGTACCTTCCTGGTTAGAGAACACAAAGAAGAAAGGACAATCATGAGTGTAAGTGGTATCCAGACACCCAGAATGGACAAAGCTAGTGCGGCTGTAGACCATTCATAACCTCTTCGGTCAGAGTGGTATTTGTATAATTAACACTTTATACCCTGCAAGGAATCAGACCCTAAGGATATTAACTTAACATGAAAATCATCCTGAATGTGAAGTCCTCTTCTTTTGGTGACTCAGAATCACTTCTAGTATCTTATAGTAGCTCTTCTGAGCCTTTTCTAAAGAAAATCTAGGAAACTAAAAAATAACATGCTTTGGCTATGAATTTGTGTCTCTGACGCTCTCCTCATGAGATGAGGATTAATAAGCCCTCTCCTCAGCTTTAGCTGTTAGTTATCTGGTTATTGGATGCTCATATGAACAGACATTATAATAAACATTATAGCCTTGTGAACAATGAGAA